TTGTGCAGATAAAGGCACATTGAGGAATATTTCTGCCAGATCCATGCATCGGATCAAGAGAGCAGCTGCTAAAATACCATTACATAGCAGCAAACAGATATTTGAAGCTGCTGGTGCCTCTGGAGTCCCAGGGACATCAAGGTGTAGAGTCCTCCAGAGTCTTGCAACTGTGCATAAATCTTCTATTCGGCCACCACTAACCAATGCTCACAAGCAGAAACAGCTGCATTGAGCAGAAAAATACATAAAGACTAATTTTCAAACAGTCCTGTTCACTGATGAGTGCCGTGCAACCCTGGATGGTCTAGATGGATGGAGTAGTGGATGGTTGGTGGACAGCCACCCTGTTCCAACAAGGCTGCAACGTCAGCAAGGCGGTGGTGGAGTCATGTTTTTGGACGGAATCATGGGAAGAGAGCTGGTCGGCCACTTTAGGGTCCCCAAAGGTGTAAAGATGACCTCTGCAATGTATGTGGAGTTTCTGACTGACCACTTTCTTCCCTGGTACAGAAGGAAGAACTATGCTTTCCGTAATAAATCTCATGCTGCAAAGAATACATCTGCATCAATGGCTGCTATGGGGATAAAAGGAGAGAAATTCATGGTGTGGCCTCCATCCTCCCCTGACCTCAATCCTATTGAGAATCTTTGGAGCATCCTCAAGCAAAAGATCTATGAGGGTGGGAGGAAGTTTACATCCAAACAGCAGCTCTGGGAGGCTATTCTGACATCTTGCAAACAAATTCAAGCAGAAACTGTCCAAAAACTCACAAGTTCAATGGATGCACGACTTGTGAAGCTGCTATCAAATAAGGGGTCCTATGTTAAAATGTTAAAATGTTTAAAAAGTAAAAATGTTGTTAAAGGTTTGATTGAAATAGCTTTTGATTTCAGTAAAATGCAGCAAACACAGCAAATGAAAATTTTCAGTTCTTTACAACCTATAAAGTGTTTTGAAACTTAATGTGCGTAATAATTTGGAACAGTGCATATATATATAAATGAGTGCAATATTTTATCTGATTTATTGTTTTAATGATATGTCTTGCAACTAATATTTGTTTTCTCACAATCTACCATATACTGGCATGTATATTTATTTTTTATACACGGCAAAAATAAAAAATGTAAAAAATTAAATAAATAAAATTTTAAAAAAAGCCAACATAAGCCCAGCAAACCAATTTGGCAAACTGAATTGGGCAAGCCCTATATTGACCCTGTAACTTTCAAAAACACCAAAAAACCTGTGCATGGGGGTATTGATATACTCGGGAGACTTCGCTGAACACAAACATGAGTGTTTAAAACAGTAAAACATATAACGACGATGAAATCACCAGTAAAAGTGCAGTTTTTGTGTAAAAAAAATGCAAAAAACAAATATGAACGCTAACTTTGGCCAGCTTTTGTGACTAAGGGGCTACTAAAAAAGACTAGACATATCCCATTTTGAATACAGTGGGTTGTCTACTTTTACAAATGTTTTGCCATGATGGGGTTAATTTTCATTCCTGGGCTGCCATATGGTCTCAAAGGCAACATAGGCCCAGCAAACCAATCTGGCAAATTTCTATGTGCAAACATGGAAAAGCCCTACATTTTACCCCTGTAAGTTTGCAAAAAAACCCTAAAACCTGTACTTTGGGGGCACTGTTGTACTCAGGAGATGTTGCTGAACACATATCGGGGTGTTCTTTGTCAGTAACACATAACAGGAACTGAGAATCCATGCCTAAAGTACAATGTGAGAGAAAAATAACACACAAGAAGGACTACCCAAAAGTTTGACAAAGACTGATGGTAGAATTAGTGCATGGAAAGTGTTAAAATACCACCATATGAAATACCCTAGGGTGTCTAATTTTAAAAAATATATGGTTGGCCGGCTTCAAAAATGTCCCAAATAGGACATTGGTGCATGAAGACTAGCTGTGAAAATCCAGAGTTGGAAAACTGGAATGCGCACCCTCCAAATAAGGTATTTTAGCCCCCAAAGAACCCGACACACCTATGCATGGGTGGTATCACTGTATCTGAGATGTTGCTGCACACATATTGGGGTGTTCTTTGGCAGTAACCTTTAAAGTTCTCCTATGGTTTGGAAATAGCAAAGTGGTACTTGTACTTATTGCCCTATAACTTTTCCAAAAAAGCTAAGAACATGTTAACATTGGGTATTTTTAAACTCAGGACAAAAGTTTGAAACTATTTAGCTTGGGTGTTTTTTGGCGATTGTAGATGCGTAAAAGATTTTGGGGTGTCAAAGTTAGAATAAATGCGTGTTTTTTGAAATATTTTCATCATATTTTATAATTTCTGTTATAGTAAATTATATGATATGATAAAAATAATGATATCTTTAGAAAGACCATTTAATGTCAAGAAAAACGGTATACAATATGTGTGGGTACAGTAAATGAGCAAGAGGAAAATAACAGCTAAAGACAAACACGGCAGAAATGTAACTAATACAGCCCTGGTCCTTAACGGTAAGAAAATTGAAATACGGTCTGGTCACTAAGGGGTTAAAGAACCCAGTGAGCTTTAAAAACAATATTCATTTTGCTAGACAAATATTTGGCAAAGAGGAATAAGTAACCATCTAGACAGAAATGATAGGCTGAGAACACATTCAGACAGTCTATGCCTTCCGGTTTGGAGGAAATTGGCAGTGATTACGCAAAAGTGGATTCTGCATGATCAATGTGGTCGATGCGTTGTGGTGTGCATGAAAAATGTCAAACCATTTCATTGACATTGATGTTAAAGGGGTTCTCTAAGCAACCTAATGACTACAGCTGTTTAAAGGACCACTATAGTGCCAGGAAAACAAACTAGTTTTCCTGGCACTATAGTGTTAATAGGTCCCCCCACCCTCATGGGCCCCCTCCCGCCGGGCTGAAGGGGAAGGAAGGGGTTAATATCTTACCTTTCTCCAGCACCGGGCTCCCTCGGCGCTGGTGACTCTCCTCCTCCTTCTGACCGCGCATTCAGTCAGTCCATAGGAAAGCATTCTCAATGCTTTCCTATGGACGCTGGCGTCTTCTCACTGTGAAAATCACAGTGAGAAGCGTGGAAACACGTCTAAGCGTGGAAGCACGTCAATGAGACAGCCATTAGAGGGTGGATTAACCCTAATGTAAACATAGCAGTTTCTCTGAAAGTGCTATGTTTACAGCTGCAGGGTTAACCCTAGATGGACCTGGCACCCAGACCAATTCATTAAGCTGAAGTGGTCTGGGTGCCTATAGTGGTCCTTTAAGTTACCTAGAAAGGACCCTGGCACAGTTCCCTTGCTTTATATGAAACCATGACCTTCCTGACACTGTGGGACTGTCCCATCTTGGCTGCTTTAGCAATGCAGAATTCACATTGAGAATAGTAATGTAGATATGTTGATTCAACGATATTAATGCAGCTGGGATTTAAGATGTCCATTAAAGGAAGACTGCGGGTAAACATCAAACTTATCTTAAACAGTTTGATAGTAAACCAGGGGTCTAGGCTGCATAAACACTGCAACAAGCATATGTAATATGTCTAAAATGTTAATGTCCTTTAGGTTTTTCGTTACTTAAATGTTATGTATACTCTAATTCTACCCATTATTTGACATTGATATGGTGTGGATTAGATGATGAGTAATTAAGTAGATATGAATGTTGGTTGATGTTTGGAAAATGGAAGGTGGTGGTTATAAGTGGTATGGATACTAAGCTAATAGATATGTGTGGTGTAACGGGTAAGGTAGTGGCCAAGTATGGTACAGATGGTGAGTCGGTCTATATATATGTTATGGAAGAGTAGGTCTAGATGTATGTTAAGGATGGTGAGTTGACAGATATTGTGATATGGATAGTGAATTGGTGGATATGTGTGGTGTAATTACAGTTTACAGACTGTTCTGGGTGATTTCACCAGAGGGTTTAACACCTTGCACAATTACTCAACCCCAAATGCAGCATGGACACACAATCGTTCACCAGTACTTCAACTTTCCTCACTGTCCTCTATCATTCCTACCTCTCCCTCTCCACATTAAATCCCCCAATCACTGCACACCTAACACTTCGTATATCTCAAATACCCTTGGACATTTATACCTTACTAGAAAAACAGAAAAAAGGACCACGGCGCTTAAAATTCTTATAACCTGGTGCAGCCAAAAATTACCCAAGTGTAGTGGCACCTATTACACTTAAAACGTGATAATAAAGAAAAAGGGGTGAAGGTAATTAGCGCTCACAGAAAGAAAAAAACGTTACCTTGTACATATAGAGATGAATAAGGCTTCTAATAACCTGATAACCTACAAATAGATACATATAATAGACATAGTGTAATCTGTATATACAGAAATGATAGAAAAAGGAGATATGTACATCAAACTCACAATTTCCAGAGCCTTTTTTTTTTTTTTTAAAGTTGGCTCTAAACTTTGTCGAGCATATCGTCTCTTTTTTGAGACACAAAATGATCCTCAGGAACTCGGAGCTGATGATGTAACAAGACAGTCCTCAGGAGCTTCTAACTGGTAATATAGCAGCAGACTCCAGCATAGATATTTTAAAAAATATAAATTTATTTCACCAAATAAAAGTATATAAAATACATAAATTATTGCACGACGCGTTTCAACTGATATAGGTCTTTCTCAAGTACCTTACTGTCTACATCCTACAGCTTATTCCCCCTTGTAACTACATTATCACCCACACTTTAACAAATTATTTTCACTATAAGAATTATTTCCTCTTTCCCCAAAATAATAAAATGGTTAGGAAAGGCAGTAAGAAGAAAAATAAAATGAAATAATATAATTTTTTTTACATTCTTTATTTTTGTTGTGCAGGTGAGTACACAGGTTGAGATCGCCACATCAGAGTAAATAAGCATTCATAACAACAGATATGAGATAACATGAATACGGCAATCGCGAAATCTGAAAATGAGAAAAATTATAAACAAACAAAAACCATGTCTATCACAAGTCACTAGTTAGATACTAAAAGAGGAGAGAACACGAGGAGACATGGAGAGAAACAACTAGGCCATTGTGATAGTAATAATGCGACTTAAGAAACCTAGCGCTGGTTTAGCGAAGCTAGAGAGAAGAAAGGAGATAAAATAATATAATTGAAAATGAAAATAAATATGTAAATGTGTGGATGAATTTGTAGGAAAAAAGTGTGTGATGTATACGTATACAACTGATGTGTATTGTCTAAATAATAAGAGAATACATATGTAGGTATCTACCAAAAAATAACACCACTCCAACTAGCCACAGCCTAACGTTCACTTGCCACCACCACTAAATCTCGTGTCTACTCTGCTAAGAATTATCACAAGTGAATTGCGCGTGCACAGATTTCCATTATATACTGTGCAGTACAGGTTGCTATAGTGATGATGTAGAAGATATGCAATTGTTTCTACCTGGCTATCACTACTATGCTAACGTTATCAGTAAGCCAGATAATATTAGGGACTTGCCTGAAAATCTTTAGGACAAGGTTGAACAACTGCCAGCAAATAGCAGCCGCTACCATACATCAGCTGTTGTTAGTAGCGGCAGATATTTACTGTCAAAATTGGAATCAAGCCCTAAAGTTTATACTTTTTGGTCTTGGTATTGGGGTGCAGTCCTAACATATAGCTTCATTCAATATGACTGTGGCTTGATCTTAGGGTCACCAGCTAGCATTTATCTTAATTTAAACAATTATTGACCTTTATGGATTGATCATGCATTTGTTCATTTAGTGTGCTACTTTACTCATAGTATATAATGTGTTTGACACAGTGCATATAGTTTGTCCTTTTATGTGTATTTCACTGACAGCTTTATTTTCTTAGCTGTTAAGCAAAAATAAGAAAAAAATAATGTATTTAAAAACTCATTTGTGTTTTTCTTTTACAGACATATGTGCTGAGCATTTGGAGACATTCATGTCATTTCCTGATGCTGCTCCCATTATGAATAAATTTACAAGCTTTAGTTGAAAGTGTCTGTGCTGTTTTCGTCATATCTATTCTTTCTGACCAGACATGATATATGGCACGCCACAAAAACATGTCCTAATAACCTGCTTATTGAGAAACATCAGTATTGTCTAGCCACTAGAGAATATCAGATTTCTATTAAAGGGACACTCAAGCACAATGACAACTTATCACATGTCCTTGTTTCTTTGCAAACAGTCAGGATTATTTGCTAAAGTGAGAGTTGCTGGGAATTTGAATTTCTCCAGTGTGACTATTTTGGCCTTAAATTTTAAATTTACTTAGAATTCCCAGCAACTCTCACTTTAGCAATGCGGATGGAAGGAGGAATGTGATATGGATGTGTCACATGTTCATCCTCACCTTTCTGGCATTAACGGATGTGCTACTTAGCAGCCCTGTGCCGGTGTATCTAACTCCTGCGGTATGCTGAAGGATGCCAGCCGCTGCGGATCCATTCCAATTTGTAGCCCCACATCCGCCCACAGTAGTGACGACGTCGGCATGCGTGTGACGTCACGCATTGGATGCGCACGCACGTTCTGGTGTCAAAGGCCGGGTATGGCCAATCGGATCTGAGGGAGGCTTATTTAAACTCCTTTTTCCCTTTTCTCATTGCCATGTCGTGATTTCCCTTAGTGGTTGTCCAAGAGTGTGTTCCTGAGTGTTTATTTCTGGTTATTGACTTTGGTTTTGACATCCCAGTATTCTGGTATCCCTGACTTTTTGGCTTTCCTCATCGTTGTGTCTCATTCTGTGTCCCCGACCTCGGCAAGTATTCTGACTATTCTCTGGTAGGTTAAGTCTCGCCATTCTAAGGCCCTGTAAGACATTACCTTTAGTCCTAGGTGTGATACAGTTCTGCGTGCTGGATCCACTAGTAATCCTAACAGGATGGAAGGAAGGAGAGAAATGGATTAAGGAGGAGAGAGACATGGGGGAGATATGGATGAAAGGGAGGCATAGGGGGAGAGATTTGCATGGAGAGGGGAGGGAGATATGGATGGAGGGAGAGGGAGATATGGATGGAAGGGAGAAGAGCTATATGGATGGGTGGAAGGGAGAAGAGACATATGGATGGATGGAAGGAAGGAGAGACATGGGTGGAAGGGAGGAGAGAAATATGGATGGAGGGGGGGTAGGTATGGGTGGAAGGGAAGCATGGGGGAGAGATTTGGACCGAGAGGGAAGGTAGAAATGGATGGGGGGAGGGAGATATGGATGAAGGGAGGCCTGGGGGGGAGATATGGGTGGAGGGGGGAGGTAGAAATGGATGTGGGGGAGGGAGATATGGATAAAGGGAGGCATGGGGGGAGATATGGATGGAAGGGAGGAGAGATATGGATGGAGAGGGGAGGAGAGGAGAGACATGGATGGAAGGGAGGAGAGAAATGGGAGGGGGTAGAAGCGAGTGGAGGGTGAGTGCAGCCATACTTTACCCTACCTGGATATGTATGTATCCAGGAATACATATTGTGCGCATAAGAATGAAACAAGTCATTTTAGTTTGTGTTACTCTAGGATTCACTAACTTTTATACAGGTCACAGGCAGCACAGATAACCAGTTACATGATTCTATCTATTTATCAGGGGTTATTACTATCACACAAAAGCAAACACAGTCGCACCGTACACAGCCAGCCCAAAACTATCACAAACACAAGCAGTCCTCATCACACACTGACAGCACAAAATGATCACACACAGCTAGCCCAACGCTAACACACAGTTTCCATCACATGTACACAATTCAATATAAAAAAAATATATTCCTATCACACACAGACAACCAAATAAATCATATACAGTCCACATTACAGTCATCCAACTATATCACACACAATTGTAGCCATTACACTCTGACAGCTCAATATGCACCCCCCATTACACCCAGATACCCCAATACATCACATGCAGTCCCACTATACTCAGTCTGAGGTCATTGGTCACATCCAAGATATTTGTTAGCGATAAAAATAAATGTAGTGACCCCAGTAAAGACTCCTTTTTGTAATATGGTGCAGGGCCGGACAGCCCTGGGGCCGCTGTGAGATGCAGCCTCAAGAGTGTGAGAAAGCACTCCCTCGGCCAATTTGATGTTGCCTTTGTTGCAACCGGAAATCTCATACCTGGTATCTTTTCCCTCCTGCATGGTGCTTGCAGGAGAATGTGTGAAGTTCTAGGACAAATCTTGTGAGTTCAATAAAAATGTGGTGAGTACCGTGAGTGCAAGCTCAATCTTTACCTACCATGATCGCAGGGGTCGAAGCTTATGGGCCAGTGCACAGCCACACCGGCCCAGGTCCGCAGTTCCCGGAGGTCTGGCAGGAAGGGAGAGCTGCACTGCTCCTCTCCTGCCTATGTATAGTGTGTCCGAGCAGTCTGACAGGAAATGCTCACTGTTAGAGCATTTTCTGTCAAACCGGGAATCGCAGCCAGTAAGGTATGGGTATGGGATACAGGGAGGGGAGGGAGAAGAGAGAGAGGGGAGGGGATACAGGGAGGGGAGGGGGAAGAGAGAGAGGGTATGGGATACAGGGGAGGGAGGGAGAGAGAGAGTGTATGGGATACAGGGAGGGAGGGGAAGAGAGAGAGGGTATGGGATACAGGGAGGGAAGGGTGGGAGAAATGGAGGGGATGGGACACATGGAGGGGAGAGGGTAGAAATGGAGGGTATGGGAAACAGGGAGGGAAGGAGGGAGAGAGGGAGAAATGGGACACAGGGAGGGGAGGGAGGAAAGAGCAAACAATGGGACACATAGAGGGGAGAGGGGAGAAATGGAGGGGAAGGGAGAGAGGGAGAAATTGTACACAGGGACGGGAGGGGGAAGAGAGGGAACAATGGGACACAGGGAGGGGAGGGGGAGAGAAAGAACAATGAGACACAGGGAGAAGAGGGGGGAGAGAGGGAACAATAGGACACATGGAGGGGAGAAAAGGAGGGTATAGGACACATGGAGGGGAGAGAGGGAGGGTATTGGACACATGGAGGGGAGAGATGGAGGGTATGGGACACAGGGAGGGGAGGAATAAAATGGAGGGTATGGGACACAAGGAGGGGAGGTGGGAGAGATGGAGGGTATGGGACACAGGGAGGGGGGAGAAATGGAGGGTATGGGACACCTGGAGGGAAGGGGAGAGAGGGAAAAATGGGACACATGGAGGGGAGGGGGGAGAGAGGGAGAAATGGGACACATGGAAGGAAGGGGGAGAGAGGGCAGAATGGGACACATCAAGGGGAGGGGGGGAAAGAGGGAGGGTATGGGACACATGGAAGGGCTGGGAGGGAAGAGGGTATGAGAAACATGGAGGGGCTAAGGGGAGAGGGAATGGGACTCATGAAGGGGCTGGATGAGGAGGAGCCTATGGAACACATGGAGGGGCTGAGGGGGGAGAGGAAACGGGACTCATGGAGGGGCTGTGGGGCAGAGGGAATGAGGCACATGGGGTGCCTGGGCACGGGAATGAGACTCCCAGGGAGGGGGGATGAGACACATGGGAGGGGGCCCCCATGGCAATTTTGCACTGGGGCACAGTGGATTCTAGTTACGCTTCTGGTCCTGTGTGCTTTGGCAACTCCTGTGAGTGCAATCTAATTGTTGGGGTAGGTAAGTCCTGGGTGCCTGGGCCAATCCTATGAGTGCAATCCCAGTGCTAGGGTAAGTCGTGGGTGCGAGGGCAAGTCATGTTAGTGCAATCTTCATGCTGGGGCAAGTCATGATAGTGCAAACTCCATGTGGGGCAAGTCATGTTAATGCAATCTCAATGCTGGGGTAAGTACTGGGTGCTTGGGCATGTCCTTTGAGTGCAATCTAATTGTTGGGGTAAGTCCTGGGTGCTGGGGCAGCTACTGTGAGTGCAACCTCAGTGTTGGGGAGGGTATGTCACGTGAGTGCAATATTCATGCTGGGGTAAGTCCTGGGTGCTCAAGCAAGTCTTGTGAGTGCAATCTGCATGCTGGAGAAAGTCAGTATATGCCCCCAGTATATGCACATGGCTATGTCTCACACACTGCCCTGATATATACCCTTGCACATGGCAATTAATATAACTTTGTGTACATACTGGGGTCTATATATTTCCCTGTGCATGGGGTATATATCAAGGCAGTGTGTGAGATATCATTTTGTGTACATACTAAGGGTATATATCATTCTTATCTATAAATAATACACTCTTCAAATGTGCTTTAAAATGCATGGTTTTCCCTTTAATGAACAAGAATATAATGCTATGATATGGGGCTGGTATAATGATGCAATGCTATTGGTCTGGTATAAAATTATTTCCAGAGCTGGTTTTTATCCCCAGTTCGGCACTGATACGGTGTGATGGCCCTGTGTTATGCGGTATACCGTGAGTAGGGGCATGTTACCTAAACAGCGAGCAGCCAGTAGCTGCTCAATGTCATTTAAAACTACTAGTGACTGGGCAGCTATTGCTGCCCAGTTGCTAGTAAAAAAATGGGGTGGCCCTAATAAATTAAAGGGGGGACATAATTTCCTCCCTGGCCCCACCCATGAGCGGCGGGTGGGGACCCTAATGAAATAAATAATGGGGGACCTAATGTACCCCCCATGAGCGGCAGGTGGGAACCCTAATGAAATAAATAAAGGGGGGGACTAAATGTCCCCACCCACGACAGGCAGGTGGGTACCACAAATAATAAAGTGACTAGGGGTCCCCAAGCCCCTGTAAAGAGTACGATAAGAGTACGTATAAAAAGTAGCTATTTAGATCTACACCCTGTTCCAAATTATTATGCAAACTCTATTTAAGTGTCACAAAGATTAAATATTTTGCTTTTCAGTTTAACTCATGGATGCAGGCCCGGACTGGCCATCGGGCAAACTGGGCAAATGCCCGGTGGGCCGCGATGGCCATGGGCCGAGGCCGGCAGGAAAGATCAAGAGATCTCTCCTGCCAGCCCATGCAGGGCAGCACCGGCACCAAGATGGAGTCCTGTCTCCCATCATGGGCCGTAGGGGAGAACGCCGAGCAGCTTCCTTCTCTTCCTCTCGCGAGCTCCGAGATTATCAGAGTGTTGCCATGGTAACCCGTGGCAACACTCTGAAAAACCAGCGCTCGCGAGAGGGAGAGAGAGAGATGGTCTGTACCCTGCGGGATACAGACTGAATTACCTGCCGCTGGACCACCAGGGATCAGTGCGTGGCCCCCCTCACTGGACCACCAGGTATGTGAATGCTTCCTCTCTCCCGTGCCAAGTTAAAAGGGGGGAGTAAATGGGATTTTATTTTTTTTATTTACTTTTTTTGTTTGTTTAATTCTTAAATTAATAATGTATGGCCATATCATCCACTATATACACCCCCCTCACATACACACACTACAAACACACTACACACACACACACTGCACCCCCTGCACTAACTCACAAACACACTGCACTAACACACAAACACACTGCACCCTCTGCTCTAACACACAAACACACTGCACTAACACACAAACACACTGCAGCCCCTGCACTAACAAACACACTGCAGCCCCTGCACTAACACACAAACACACTGCACCCCCTGCACTAACACATAAACACACTGCACTAACACACAAACACACTGCAGCCCCTGCACTAACACACAAACAAACACACTGCACTAACACACAAACACACTGCACCTCCTGCACTAACAAACACACTACACTAACACACAAACACACTGCAGCCCCTGCACTAACAAACACACTGCAGCCCATGCACTAACAAACACACTGCAGCCCCTGCATTAACACACAAACACACTACACACTGCACTATCACACAAACACACTGCACCCCCTGCACTAACAAACACACTGCAGCCCCTGCACTAACACACAAACACACTACACACACTGCACCCCCTGCACTAACACACAAACACACTACACACACAGCACCCCCTGAACTAACACACAAACACACTACACACACAGCACCCCCTGAACTAACACACAAACACACTACACACACTGCACCCCCTGCACTAACACACAAACACACTACACACACAGCACCCCCTGCACTAACACACAAAGACACTACACACACAGCACCCCCTGAACTAACACACAAACACACTACACACACAGCACCCCCTGCACTAACACACAAACACGCTGCACCCCCGAACTAACACACAAACACACTGCACCAACACACAAACACACTGCACCAACACACAAACACACTGCACTAACACACAAACACACTGCAGCCTCTGCACTAACAAACACACTGCAGCCCATGCACTAACAAACACACTGCAGCCCCTGCACTAACACACAAACACACTACACACTGCACTAACACACAAACACACCGCACCCCCTGCACTAACAAACAAACACACTACACACTGCACTAACACACAAACACACTAAACACACTGCACCCCCTGCACTAACACACAAACACACTACACACACAGCACCCCCTGAACTAACACACAAACACACTACACATACAGCACCCCCTGAACTAACACAGAAACACACTACACACACAGCACCCCCTGCACTAACACACAAACACACTACACACACAGCACCCCCTGAACTAACACACAAACACACTACACACACAGCACCCCCTGCACTAACACACAAACACACTGCACCCCCGAACTAACACACAAACACACTGCACCCCCTGCACTAACACACAAACACACTCTATACCCCTATATACACACTACAGCCCCTGCATTAACACACAGCACACACTCTATAGCCCTATATCCACACTACACCCCCAGCACTCACATACACACTCTATACCGCCTAAACATACATTACACTCCCTGCACTTTCATGCGTTATG